TGGAGTGTAATGGACATTAACCCAGATGTCAAAAATAGCCTGCATTTTACTACTGTTATTAAACAGTTTCCCCTTTAACCCCTCCGTGTTTACCAAAGACTCCTTTCTCCCAGCCAGTTTCTGCAAATCACTACCGAAAGGGCAGGAGAAGAAAGTCATAATCGGGCAGGTGTCTTTATTCCAAAGAAAAACAGTCTGAAGGAATATTTGTGAGACACCACACGTTTATAGCCTGCTCTCCTGAGGGCGCTTGTCCTGAGGCGGAATCTGACTGCAGTGCTCAGCCTGCACGCCCCACCCCCACAGCAACCCCCCACCCCTGCACACCAACCGCAGGGGTGGTTCCTTCCCCCAGAACCCGGCCAAGACTTTTCACAATGGGAACAGCCTTCTATTGTGATGCCAGTTACACATTCTTTGGTTTTAAAAATCCAAGAACAACAAAAATTCTAAAGAAGAAAATTTTCAAACACCACCCAGAAATAATTATTAAGGATATTCTGGTATATGCATTTGCAAGTGTTTATGTTTATGTGTGCGTTGCAGCAAGAATGTGGTTGAATTGCACATACAGAATCGTGGTCTGCTTTTTTCACTGGAAATTTGTAGACATCTCTCCATATTAAAAAAATTATGTTCTAATTGTTATATAGTCAAATCTTAAGCATGCCTGGCACAGACCCCTGTTCATTTCCTTTGAGGCACAAATTTTTTTAAATTCTAATTCTTTTATTTGTGTATCTATTTGTTGTCTGTCTTACTTCTAAAAATACAGGTTTCATGAGGGTGCAGATTTTGTCTGTCCTGTTTAGTGTTTGTTTTTTGTTTTGTTGTGTTTTTGAGAGAGAGAGAGAGACAAAGCTCTAGCAGGGGAGAGGCAGAGAGAGGGAGACACAGAATCTCAAGCAGGCTCCAGGCTCTGAGCTGTCAGCACAGATTCTGACGTGAGGCTTGAACTCACGAACTGCCAGATCATAACCTGAGGTGAAGTCAGACGCTTAACCCATTGAGTCAGTTAAGAGCCTGATGTGGGGCTTGAATTCACCAACCTGAGGTGAAGTCAGATGCTTAACTGAGCCGCCCAGGTGCCCCTGGCCTTTTTATCATTGTACCCCTGGCACCAAGCACATTGTACCCCTGGCACAGAGGAGCTGTGTTAGTTTGCTATCACTGCATAACAAATTAACACAAACTTAGGGACTAAAACTTAGCACTCATTTATTAATTCACAGTTTCTAAGGTCAGAAGCCAAGTCACACACCACTGGGTCCTTCTCGTAGGGTCTCATAAAGCCAAAGTAAAGGTATTGACCAGGCTGGACTTTAACCTGGAGCTCTGGGGAAGCACCCACCTCCGGGCTCATTCAAGCTGTTAACAGAGTTCATGTCATTGTGGTTGTAGGACTAAGCGCCCAGCTCTCTTGCTGCCTGTCAGCTAGGGGCGCACGTGGGCTGTGCAGGACCCTCTCGGGCCCCTGCCCCATGGTTCCCTCCATCTCAGCACTGCAAATCCCTCTCCTGTTTCAGATTTCCCTTTCTCTCCCTCTACGAACAAGAGAAAAGTCTGTGCTATTTAAAGTTCCTATGATTAAATCATGTCTGCTCAGATCAACCCTCTTGATTAACTTAAAGTCAGCAGATTGGTGACCTTCATTACATCTGTCAGGTAGCGTAATCATGGTGTGAGATGTTCACAGTCTCCATCTCCGGGATCAGGGCTGGAAATCTTGCTTGGGGGTGGGGAGATTCTGCCTACTCTGGATGCTCCCTAATACCTGTGGCGTGAAGGAGTGAATCAGTTTGTTCCATGAACTGTACAAGGCTCAGAGGGTGCTAGGTGAGCAAGAGTGGCCTGGCCCCTGTCCTCATACAGCTTATAGATCAGACCAGTATTATTCAGATAGAAACATAATGCCAGCCAGTTATTTTCAGTTTTCTCATAGCCACATTAAAAATAAGAAGAAATCAAATTAATTGTTAATTGAAATCGAAATTAGTTGTAATACTATATACTTGATCCAGTATGAACAAAATATTATACAAATATATATTTGTATAAATACAAAATCCGTATTTAAAAGACTAAATTCATACTAACCAGGAGTGCATGGTGTGTTAACTAACGGGAATTTAAAGAGGAGGTGACATCTAAACTGATACCAAAGAGTAAGTAGGCATTAGTCAGGCCCAGGGTTGATGTCAACGCGCGTCGGACGGAAAGACAAGTGTGTGAGACGAGGAGGAAAGAAAGCTTCGTATGGCAGAAGCAAATCCAACACAGGCGGCCCGTGCAGTGTGGGGCTGCAGAGAAACAGGCCGGCATGGCCAGAGGCTCTTCTCCATCCTGCAGGCAAGGGGGTTGTAAATGCAGGTTGTACACAGGAAACGCAAGATGGAGTAGATGTCGTTATTGAAACAGCGCTGTGGGGAGCACATGAGAACACTGAGTTGGGTGCTTCAGGAGAAGAGGTGTGGGGACAGAGTGGGTCTGCTGTGACCATCCAGGTGAGGCAGGACTGTCCAGAGATGATCCCACTGTGGGTGGCTGCCTGGGTTGCCTCAATGCTGAAAGCTAGGATTTCTTTTTCATTTTTTTAAAGCATAGGCTTATTTGCCCCCCAACAAGGGATTGTCTGCATTTCCAACTGCTGGCGATGTCATCTGAGTCTTTCTCTCGAAGCCATTTAGGTGCCCCCACCCCCACCCCCCGTGAATGGATTGTCTGGCTGAAGGAGCAGCAACCCTTTCTGAGAGTTCCCTCTTCCACAGCGCACACCCCATGCAGCACACGCATCTCATACAGTACCGTTGTGAGGCACTGTATTCTGCCTAGTGACCTGTTACCCAGCTGGAAATCCTTCTCTCAACTGAATAAATGATTGTTCTTTGCTACTTTATCTTGGAAAAACATCAAGGACATCAGGCATTCGCTGTAATTATTTTTCACTCGTTTCCCCATCTGTAAAATATGACCGGTGCATTTTAGTACTACTTTGGGTTTCTCTTTACCTTTTAATCAGGTGGCCTTTTAATATATTGGTCAGCCCTTTAAAAGGATGATTAAGAAATGCTTAATGCACAAAAGAATTAGAGCAATGCACAGCTCACAGAGCAGAAAGCGTGCTCTGACTTACAATTTTCATACAAAGTTTGCAGAGATTTTATGTGCCAGAATGAGTAATATGATCTCCTCTAGGAACTCCCTAGCTTTCTGGCTCTGCAAAAGTCATTTTTTTGCCCCGATTCAAGTTTCTTAACCAGAAGGGTTACACCAAACTCCTCAGAGTATGAATTAGCAGAGTTCATCCAAGCCACATATTTCATTTGCACTGTTTAACGATGGCTGGAAATAACTGCCTACCTGTACAGACACTGGGATCTTTGGCATGCTCATTAGTCAGTGTGGCTTGAGAAATTCTGTGCATCAACCACCAAATCAGACAGCTCAGGCTGTATATAAAAAGTGGCTCACACATGTGTGAGTGAGTGTGTGTGTGTGTGTGTGTGTGTATGTGCGTTTGATCTTTCCCCTCCCTGCCATATTCCCCAGATAGCTGCACTATTACCATGTGCCCGGAAACTCCCAAAGCATTCAGAGGCCATATGTGAATGATAATGAGCATCAGCGGGGAAGAAAGTCAGCATTTGAAGGGTCATATGGGCTGGTCCTCTCTTCCCACCCATTTTACTGATTCTTCCCAGGCTACAGTTCTATTCCACACCAGGACCTCTTACTGGGGCAGTGAGGACATTTAGGGTGCTCCTGCATATCCCCAGGTCATGAAGTATGCAGACGGATGACTGTTACATTTATGTGTAGGGTCGAGTACACACACACACACACACACACACACACACACACGCCATCGCAGGCTGGGATGAAGGCCAGCTTTGTTTTGTTCTCTCTCTAACGAGATATCAATGTCCTTTTTTAAGTATGTTTTTGTTGTGGTAAAATATACATTAAAAGGTACCATTTTAACCAACATAAACGTATAATTTAAGTTTAATTCCATGGCATATAGTGCATACGAAGGGTTATACAACCACTACTATCCATTTCTAGAACTTTCTCACTATCCCAAACGATTGCTTAACTGTACCTCCTAAGCTGTAACTCCTCCCCCCTCTCCCTCCAGCCCCTGGCAAGCCTCTAATCTATTTTATGTGTCTATAAATTTGTCTACTCTGGATAGCTCATGTAAGCAGAATCATGCAGTATTTGTCCTTTGGTGTCTGGCCTATTCACTTATTTCACTGCCATGGTATCTTCGAATGTCATTCATATTGTAACATGAATCAGAACTTCATTTCTTTCTAGGGCTGAGTACTATTCCACTGTATGTATGCACCACGTGTGTTTATCCATCCATGTGCTGGTAGACCCTTAGGATTTGTTTCTACCTGTTTGTTGTGAACAATGTTGCGGTGAACATTTGTGGCCAAGTATCTGTTTGAGTCCCTGTTTTCCATTCTTCTGCATTCATACCTAGGAATGGGCTTGCCAGGGCCAGTATGTGTTTGAATCGTTGCTCTCAGATGGTTTATAAGCAAATGTTAGGTTTTCTGGTGTCTTACCGTCTTCAACTCTCTTATCCCTATAAAGCCAAGCTAAAACTAATTTAAGAACCATACTCATTGTAGAAAAGTGGAGAGAGAAAAAAATGAACACATGTCTGATCACATAGAAATCATCACTGGAACATTTTTGTATCTTTCCTTTCTTTCAATTTCAGTTTCTTTTTGCCCGATCAAGAGACATCTATACCTGGATGTGACATATTTTGAAAGAGGCCTTCCCTCGGATGATATAACTTCATGTTCAGTTTGTCCTGCCTCTGTGCTTCCTCCCCATTGCCCTCTTCCCCATCCCAGCCAACCACAACCAAAGAGAATAGTGGAGGGTCAGTGCAGGGGTGAGTATGGGAACTCCAGCCAGGATTCTCTCCTGGATCAATGGCAATTGCTTCCCCTGCTAAGTCGTGTGCTTTCTCGTCGCAGCTATCAGAAGAGCAGACTAAAGGGGAAATGCAGCTCTGCAGCAACATTCTGATCACCTACTGCAGCGTGGCTCACGTCGCTGGCCGTCACCACCTGGAATGCTCATCAGGACCGGAAGAGAAGCTTTCATTTCCATTATGGTGCACAGTTCTGTTCGACTTGATATTTCCTTCATTATCTCATGTCATTTCTCATGGATTTAGATATGTTGGACAGGAAGAAGGAGGAAGAGGAGAAAAATGACAGATCCTCCTTTTTTGTCAGGATTTGGGCATTTAAAATGTGATCGTCTCTTCTGAATGTCATTATTTGATCAATTTTATTTATGTTACTTAAACATCGTTGGATAAATTTGAACTCCATGGGATTTTAACCGTGGAGTCAGCTTCTGTTGGACAACTAGCTTCATCTCCAGGTTTTCTGCCGGTTCAGCCTAAGTGGTCATGTCCTAATGCATTCGATTATCAAAAAGTGTAAATTCTGTGCGTGAGTGGTGTTGGCAGTGTTTGTATACCAAGATGCATGGAGTGTTTGACAAAGAAACCAAAACACCAGAAATGGCGAGCCTTTACCCTCCTCTATTTCTTTAATCTGCTGTTTGAAGAACCACGTTTTGATGGTGTAACCAGTAGTTACCTCTGGGCCAGGTTGGAATTGAAATCAATTTTTTAAACCACTAATACTTGCCAAGAAATCGCCTTATGAGAACATGGTGTGTGTCTCTGACAATGCATGGCGCATCCAGATTGATCACTCATGATTTTATCTACCCTGTCTTTGTACTGGAGAGTGGCAAAAGCCTGAGGCACCTACATATTTCTATTCCGCGTGTTCCACACATCTCATGGCTGGGCTGAGCCCGAGCCTCCGACTCTTCCCATTCCCGTACACGCAGGTCTCCATGAAGAAGCTGGGACTCATTCACATTTCAAGATCCAAGTGCTGTGCAAACAGCATAAGCTTGAAGGGTCATTTCTCATTTTTTAAAAAATGTCTCCAACATGGATTCCAAAGCATTTTCAGCATCAAACATGAAAACATTGATGAATGAGGAATAATCACAAAAGCTGTGTATCTGTATATAGCTCTACACAACATGTCTGTGGGTACAGCGTCATTATTTAAAGCACATGCCAGGGAAAGAGACCAAATTTTAAGGTCTTTTACATACAGTGACATGGTACTAAGGAGAACTTAACTCCTACTGCTTCCTCTGAAGATTAAAAAATAACTAAAGTTGTTATAACTTCATAAAACTCATGACCAGTCTGGCAAATATGTGCAACTCTCATTATCGATCCACTTTCTCGTCAATGGAAGAAACCCTTCCACACGTATGCAAGTGGGCAGTGAAAATCTGCATTCTTAAAAGGATAAACAGTGAAGTTAAGCATGAGTGGCCTTAATAAATACAGTTGTCTTTCTTTGCTGCTGTGGAAAGGATTCTACACAGGTGTTCCTGAAGTCTTGCATTGCATTTAGTCGTTATTATTACTTTTCAAAGTGTTGGTGCAATTAACTCTGGACCTCTCCCGTGAGCCATTGAGGTATTTAAAAGGCAGACACCTTATTTGTCGAGGAAGATGAATCTGTGTCTGACTTGCACTGTTCATCCTTGGTGCATTAGGAGTAATATATTCAAGCAGGTTTCTCGCTTCTGGCTTTGTTCTTGTCGTCAGTAAGTATAGCGAACTATGTAAAGCTTTCGTGTTGCATAAACAATCCAAATACATTCACGTTTAAAAAGTTTGTCGTTTAACTCTCAAAGGGATTTAGGTTTCCATTGGAGAAACGAGCAGAGTTCTTTGCAAGCACATACAGCACATTTTGACCTCAGGTCGCACTGCAAACCCAGGCCACAAACGCGTCCCCATGAACAATTTGGGTGTCCTGGGGTAGGCGGCCCCCATGCCCCCTACAGCCAGAGCCTGACCTGAACTCTGCAGCTGAATACTTGAAGTAGCACGAAATCCGCGAGGGGAATTAGGGTCCTCAAAGCAGAAAAAGCAACCAACCGTGTATACTTAGCTCTTTCTAAGTATGTGCCAATTTTGTCACAGCTCTTGTTTGGGGGATCAATTTTTTGCCCCACTTTTGTTGGTTTAAAGTATTATCAATCTTAACCATTAGGGGGCATCTTCTTTAGTCCCTTAAAAATTAAATTCTGTCTAACATAGCATCTTTTCCCATCTCATGTACTATTCTCTGATGTTGGGGGGGGGGTTACCAAAAAATTCCCTTTACACATCTTAAATAATAGTCTCTGGGTTTACAGCAAACACTGTGATGTCGGGAAGATCTTTCCGTTGCGCAAACGTTAGCAGGTACCCCTCCAATCATAACGAAGTTGGGAAAAAAAAAAGGTGAGGCTGACATTTAGGAGAAGTTGGTCTTCTCGCTTTGTGTGAAAGCAGGCTTGTACTTTATACCCCATTTGATTTTGATGCACAGTCTCAATTTTGTATTTACTGATTTTTGTGTATCCAGTATGCACGTTAAAAGCGTGTCAGCTTTCATTTGAAAGTGGGTTTCAATTTACTTTTTAAACAGTGTTTCTGATGAGACCTCCAATGTGTTGTCATAAGCTCTACCTGAGATGTTTTCGTGTAGAGTGGCGTTTGAATGCTGCCAGGGGTCAATGTATCTAATTCCCAGAGACCCTTGTTTGATAGTGCTTCTTGTAATTTTTCTTCAAGTGAGTGGCATGTGGGTTGTGAATATTGACCATGTGATTATGGACTTTGCTATGAAAACAATAAATAAAACTAAGGAACCCTCAGAAACTACCAGTGGGCATGTATTAGCCAGTCATTGTAACTTCGTGTCTAGTAGAAGTACAACAACGTACAAGGTATGTACAGTTCATAAATTTGTTATCATGTGTATGAGAAGTACTTTGTGCTGATCGCCTTATTTATATTCATCAAATAAACTTTGTTTCTTTCTGAAGTGGGTTCACTCCATCTCTAATAAATGCCCCAGTTGTGATGGTTTCTAATCTTTTTCGGGTCATGGATCTTCATTTGAGGAACCTAAGGACTTGAAGAAAAAGGAAAGACAAAGGGAAGGTGTATATACTTCCTTAACTGGAATGGTCAAGGCATAAATCTCCCTTTACACATAGCTGGGTCCACAGGTTCGTATTAAGGAATTAAGTCACTGGTGGGATCTCCCTTCTTTCTTCCTTCCCGCTTTGTCTTTCTCTTTCTCTCAATCCCCCCTGCTTCTCTCTCTCTTCTATCCCTCCCCTCTTTTAAAAATAATTGTTTAATGTTGATTTATTTTTGAGAGAGAGAAAGAGAGCACGCACGAGCAGGGGAGGGGCAGAGAGAGAGAGGGAGACACAGAATCTGAAGCAGGTTCCAGGCTCTGAGCTGTCAGCACAGAGCCCGACATGGGGCTCAAACTCATGAGCTGTGAGATCATGACCTGAGAGCAAGTCAGATGCTTAACCAACTGAGCCACCCAGGTGTCTCTCCCTCCCTCTTTTCCCCCTTTCCACATTTTCTCTCTTCCCTCTCTTTCTCTCTCTCCCTCACTTTCTCTTTTCTCCCTTGTTTCCTCTGTCATTTCTATGGGATTGACATCAGTCACTGCTGGGCTGTTTCCACTCGGTGGTAAAGATGATTCCCAACAGCTTTGAGACTGCTGGAATTTAAGGGGAGGGACCCTCTCGCTCCAAGCATGCATATCAGCCCCCTAAAGGGACTCACTGGTCCTTTTTGGGTTATGCATCCAATTACCTTATTCAAGGGTGAGGCCATGTGATTGACAGCCTCACTGATGTGGGAGGGGCAGATTCCAAAGGGAAAAAATTGGCTTTATTCTAGAAGAGAGGGACAAGAAAGCTGGGCAGGCAGGAATAATAGCTAGCCCTGGACACACTTGGTTACACACACAAAATCATCCAGAAAAACACACAAAATCATCCATGCAAGGGCTCACCAGCCTTCATAGCCCAACTGTGCATCATGGTGGGGGACCAGCTCCTGGTTTCTTTAAAGGTTTCAATTGTATTTCAAGAAATGAACTACCAAATCTTCCCATTATTGCAATCAAAGATAATTGATTATCAAAGCTAGAAGGTATCTTAGATGCCATGTGTCCAATATTCTTATTTTACACATGGGGAAACTGAGGCCAGTTAGAAGTGACTGACTCAAGCATGTATGGTAAGTTCACTGTAAGGCCAAGATTGTTCCCAGAGCTCCTGAAACAGAAATATTTATCCCTGAAGACTCTCTGGGGAGGAGAGGATGGGATAAAATCTCCCCCTAGATGGCCCTTGATGACACTGGGGACATATCATTTGCTTTATGGACTCATAGCCACTGTGTGTGAAGTTCTCTCACAATCCGGCACATTTGGGGGCAACCTGCAGTTGTTCGTCCTTTTCATTACATTGCCTTTTTGTAGAAAAAGAACTTCTGTTGGACAAGAATTTCTTACCTCATAGAACTTCCTGAGGCAGCCGGCTCACGTTCAAGCCTTATTATGTAAACCCAGCTGGCCAGATGGAGCCCTGCTTCTTTTACTCACAAACCACTCCTTTTGGTGAGAAAGGTATCAGCCCACACACCGCCGGACTCTCCACAAGTTTATCCGTACGTTAGTCCCGCTGAAGAGCAGGGACTGAATTTTGGTATACCCAGGGCCTTGACCTTAGGAATCTACCTTGACCACTGCTAGTATCTGTGAACTCTTACAAAAAATTGGAGAGCTGTTCTAATTCTTAGAAGTACTAATCAACAATGATAATTATACTAATCAATGAATGCAGATAAAAATAATTGGACATTGTTGAGTATTTTCTAGGAACCGAGCCATGGTGCTAGAGCCAACATGTATGAACTTGTTTGTTCCTGACGACGGTCTCATGAGGTAGGTACTGTCATGATCCACCCTTCATAGTGGGGGAAACTCTAGGCCAGCAGAGAGGACATTTATAGAGCACGCATCTGGTGCTGGCGCTGTGCTACATGCTGTGCCTACGTAAACTTATCCTCACAATAATCTCATGAGGCAGGAATTATCATTATCCTCAGACAAGGAAGGGGAGGCCCAGGGAGATTACATACCTCACCCAGGGTCCCCCAGATTGTATGTGGTGGAGCCAGGCTTTGAACTCAGTACTCATCAAGCCCCTCTGCTTCACCGATGCCTCAGGCCCCAGGGACATAGAGGCCGGGATGCGGATCCCATCTCTTCCTACCTGGCAGTGCATCTGCGTTGCAAGTTTGGGCTCCAACACGACTATTCGGCTCACAGAGACCTGAAGGAATTGGTTGCTTCAAGAATGCCACAGTTGATCAATAGTATGAGAAAATGGATTGCCATGCAGCAAGGGCATGGATCCCAGTGGAAATCAACCCACATGTGTAAAGAGAGCTCCGACAGATGCTGGAATTAAACCTGCTATCCGTGGGCCTCTCTATTTCTTCTAAGTTCCCAGTGTCTGAACATCAGCACCCCTGACCTAGACGTTTTGAGGTTTGCAGGGTGGAGTGTCTGGTGACAAGACACTGGACAGGAGTCCCCAAGTCGGAGAGGGCTTTGAGTGCCGTGCTAAAGACTATAGACCTAATATACTGCTTCTCACCCTCAGTCATTCAAATACCACTTTCCTGACTCTTGCTACAGCTGAAGACAATATGTAGTCTTAATTAAGTAATTTTAAAAAATTAAACGGGCTCACTTGTGTATTTTATAAGTGTAAGGAAAAAAATGCCACTATCATAAAGGAGAAAGTAAGATCATTTTCTATTCATAGACATCACCAAGTAGAAGAACAGTAAAAATAATGAAAATGGAATTCTGAGCCTGAGGCCTTCTCCTTCTTTGTTAAAAAGGGAGATCAGCAGAAGTTAGGGAAATGTTTCTGGGGCTAACCCAAGAGTTTCTCTTTGTTACTGAATCAGAAGGATTGAAAAATGATCAATGAAGGCATCTTGAACCGTGTGGCTCAGGCTTACGTAAGACGTGCAGGAAGACCACCCTGATTATTTCAAGGACCCTTTTGATCTCTGAATTTTAGGAAACCCTCGGGCAGCAAGAGAAGTCCAGTGATGAATTTTTGAATAAACTTTATTTTTAGTACATTTTATTTTTTAAAACACTCTTAGATTTACAGAAAAATTGAGCGGATAGTACAGTGAGCTCCCATATAAACTTCCTTCCCACATAGTTTCTTCTGATTTTAACATATTACATTAGTACAGTACATTTGCCACTAATTGATCCAACTCTAATACATAGTTATTAACTACATCTCTCTACTTCATTCTATTAACTGAAGTCTATGCTTCATTCAGATTTCCTTAGTTTTTACCTAACGTCCTTCTCCTGTCCCAGGATCTTATCCAGATACCCCATTGCATTTAGTTGTCAGGCCTCCTTAGGCACCTCTTGACTGTAAGTTGCTCACACTGTCCTTATTTTTGATAAAGTCCTTGACGATTTTGAGGAGTATGGGTGAGATTGCCCCTATCCTGGGATTTTTTTTTCCCCCATAATCAGACTGGGGATATGGGTTTTAAGAGGAAGACCATGGAGGTACAATGCTATTCTCACCACAGCATGTCAAGGGCACCTACAATCAACATGGCTTCTCACAATTGTTGTTGACCTTGATCACCTGTCTGAGGTCATGTTTGTTAGGTTTCTTCGCTGTAGTTACTCTTCCCCCCCCCTCTTTGTGATAGACTTTCAAAGTACAGATCTCTGTCTCAATATTCTTCTGGCACTACAGAGAACACACTGGCTAGAGAAGAAAACAGTTCTGAAAGTGTTTTGGACCAAAATTGTTGAATCAACAGCTTTACCATTTGGACTGTTTTTTCCCTCTATTTGAAAATGCCTTTGCCCCCTCCAGCCTCGCCTTCCTCTGTTGGATTACATAAGCATTGATGGCAGAAATGATCAATGTGGGTAGAGGAGACCCTTTCCCAAGCTCAGGGCAAAACAGATGTTTTGTGTCTGTGCCAGCCACTGTGACTTCACTTAGAGAGGGCTCAGGAGAAAACCTTTGCCTAAATTCAAGACAAAACTTCCATGGCTACATAACTGCAACTCACTGGATAAAGACATTACAGCTGTTTGAATTTGAGAGGAAAAATATGAGTATTTGAATAAGGGAATCTGTTAGGATTTTTTTCTTTTGCACATATCCCCCCCCCCAAAGAAGAATAAAAGAACAACAACAACAAAAAAAAAAACCACACAAGAAACCTGAGCAAAAATAAATACATACATATACACACATATATATTGCTTCATGTAAGAAACAGTTTAGAGGTCGCAGGTTTCAGGTGTGGCTTGTCCCAGGGCTCAAATAACTTCCTACCCTCCTTTCCTTGGTTTTGTTTTTTCTGGTATTCATCCATTCTAGAGCACTTTCAAGATTGCGAGTAAGACCCTAGACCCTAAATCCCTCTCTTTGGGGGAGGAGTCATGTGCCCTTCCTCACAAGGGAATGTGAATTCTCAGATAAGAAAGGAAGCAAACATCAAATGCACACAGCAGCACGACCCCCAGCAAAATGACATTAGAGACTGGTTTAATTTTCCTCTGTATAGAGCTTTGACCCAGAAAGGAGCAACGGGATGCGTGTTCAGCACGAGACAGGCAGCTGAGGCATCTTAACCAAATCTCAGTCGCCACACTCATACGCAGTCATAAAACTGCATGGACTCTCTGCTTCCGAATCTCGTCTATGAGAATGGTATGTCTCTTAGTTACCTGATGTGGGATGTGAGAAGAGAAAATGAGACAAAAAATGAAAAATGTTAGGAAAAAATATCTTAACAATAAAACTCTCTTCATATCTCTACAACATCTTCGAATGGCTTCTTTCAACATTTAGAACCTGTATTCAGAGAAGGAGGTGACTCTTCATAGTTGTTTAGGTGGAAGATATTTGGGGGGAATATACCAAGCAAGATTTGAGAACA